TTGACAGATAAGAGGCCCTGAGGAAGGGAAAATGTTTCTTCCAAAACACACTGGGCAAAACAAACATTTTTTTCCCTTCAGGCACTTTAGAATTTTCTCTTTCAACAATGTATTATACAACATCAATTGTGCAGCATCTGGTTCCATCCCCCATGTACGGGGTTGGCATGGGGCAGCACACAGCACAATGATGTTAGAGGAGGAAGATGCAAAGAGCATGAGCAGCTCTGTAACTCATATAACATCAGGTTAAGGCTTCAGAGGGCAGGTGATTCAGAGCGGTGACAGCATAAAGATACGGGTCCTTTTAGTCCTTTTATGCAAGGATGTGCAATGCTGGAAAACTGGCTCAGTCTGAGCTTGACAGTCTTTCAACTCATTTTATACCTGCTAGTCAAAAGCAGACCAAATCAGGGGAACAGGGGGCAGCTTCCTAAAACTAGTCACAATATTTAGAGGTGGAACCCTTCCTAGCTGGGGTAGCTGTGGATTTAAGGGCCACCATGGCAACCATGGGGCTGTCCCAGCATGTTGCTGGCCTGGCACATATAGTGGGGCATACTTTAGACTTGGTCTCTCAGGCCAGGTATGAGCATGCGGGTCTGAATGTGGGGGGCTTTGACTTAGCCCATGTTGTGGTCAGATCACCACCAGCTGCAATTTAGACCGACAGTGGCTTTTCCCCTCCACAACTGTGGGGACCTATTCAGAAGGTTCACCCCTGGAGGTTAATGGATCTGAATGATTTCCAGGGGGCTCTATGGGATTTCTTGGCTAAGATGGCTGACACTCCTGTCAAAGCCCCATGGAACACAGAAATTATCCAGGAAGTTGACATGATTGCTCCTAAGCACATTCTATTGAAGAGCTTGCATGGCTCCAGAGCTGAGAGCAATGAAACAATTTAAGGGGCAGCTTGAGTGTAGATGAAGGAAAACTCTGAGTGGATGAAATCAAAGTCTGGTAGGTGCCTACAATCAGGTATATTAGCAGACAGTGAGAGCGGCAAAGAAACAATATCTCACGGCCTCTATTTAATCTTTCCTTTGCTGCCCAGTGGAGCATTTCATGGCTACCTCAAGCTTACTACACTCTGGCCCCAAGGACATCATGTAACTATCTGAGACTCCCCGAAATTAATTTGCCAGACACTTCCAGGGGGAAAATAAATAAATAAACCTCTTGCATCCACTAAGATTAGACTCCGGAGTTAAAGCAGTTGCATCTGTGAAAATATCCAGAGCACAGCCTGGTCCAGTTTTATTGGATGAGTTTCGGTTGGTACAACTTGAGGATGTTGACAAGGTGCTTGACCAGGTTCATACAACCACCTCTGTACTAGATTCTTGCCCTTCCTGGCCTATAAGGAAGGTAAGGAAGAAACAACCAGCTGGGCCAGGAAGGTGGTTAATGCCTCTTCACAACAGGGAGTAGTGCTGCCTTAAAGAGACAGTGATTGCCCTGTATGACGACTGTCTGCAATACCTGCCAGAGCACAACCCACAACCATGATCTACCTGCTACAGTCTTCCTCCAAGTACTAACTCTTGAGGGAGGCTCAGAGGGCAGCAACAAGTGGGAGGACTTTCTCTGTGGGCCTTCCCCATCTATGGAACAACTTCCCCACTGTGGCCCACCTGGAACCAAACTTGTCATCTTTTTGGCACCAGGTTAAGGCAGTCCTTTATATCAAGGCCTTTAAAGACAGATTGTTGTAAATATCCACGAGAGCTTCAACTCTGGGGCTGCATAGAAATGAAATAAAGAATGCATGCATACATAAAAATATCCAGTGCAATTTGCTCAATCTGAGTAGTTATTGTTTATATGGTTCCATTTACCAGAAGTATGGAAGCAGCTTCCTCTCCTTATATTCGCACGTACTCTGCCTTGGATCCCTTGAATTTCCTGATAGTCAATTTCAGATTTGTGCAAAATTCAGGACTCAACTGCCTAAGTGTGCATAGTTTGTATAAATCTGTGCAAACTGTAAGTGGAGACCAAAAAACTAATGCAAATTTCCATGGCTTAAGAAGAAAACATGCAAATCACATGGTGGCACCAGCAAAGGATTGGCAGAATGAAATCTGAGCTGAGCTGAGAAAAATTGTTAGATTTTCACCCAGTATTGGTTTTTTTCACAGATTCCTAATTATATGTGGTTTTTATAAAGGCCGTTTGTATTTCCTCAGTGACAAGTATCATAACATTTGCAATGAGATGACCATGAGTAATTTATTTTAACTGCCATCATTCATCTCATGCATTGTTGCGAAGCATGTGCTAGAACCCTGGAGAATAAGGGCTTGTTATAACCAAACAGCAAAACCTCTGTTAGGATTTTAGGCTCCAAGAACTGACTGAATAACCACTTTGAAAAGCTTTTCAGACACAAGATATGGGCTAAATTAACCCAAAGAAATACCAAGTAAATGGAATTAACAAAGGGCAAGGATGCATTCTTTTACAATGCTGAGAATAGTAGTACTGAGTAATGTTTAAGGAAGTTTAGAACTGCAGCCTTGAGCATAATACAGGAGGGTTCCTTCCAAATAACTGTGTTTGTGATTGACAGGTAACTGTAACGAACAACAGAAAATCACCCATAAATCTCCAAATCAGATACATGAGGTATTCATTTGAATATGAATACCAGCTCAAACCTGGCATGTAAAATATCTTCTCCAGATAACTAAGCTACTGATCTCACAGGAATACAGTGCTTTCCTGTGTAATGGAGGGTTTTCCACAACCCTGTCTAAAAATTCTTATAATTGTTTTATTCAGAAGAGTAAGGAAAACTGAAGTCCTACATTATACATAAACTAACTGAATGTATAACCAAACAAGCCATAAGAAAATCAAGCTGTGAAACTGGAAAATATTGTACTAAAATTTTTCTTCCATGCTTCTTTTGACATCACTTTTCAAGAATACTAAATCTACCTGGCTACTCCTCTCTCAAACAAGGATATAAAACAAAGAAGGGGTGGGAATCATACAATCACTTCTCCCTCCCTCTCTCTGAAAATAAAACTTGTATTTTGCAAGGTAAGAAGCTTTGCTCTCAATCCAGCTTGGCTTCATGTCAACAGTAAAACATAACACCAACTCAGAAAGAAGTGAATTATTCCAGCACTCATTCCAGAGTCTTAGTAGGTAGGGAAATATAAAGATGCCAGAGAACAGCCTGGACCACTATTGCCACCACTGGTGTGTCCATCTCATATTTCAAATTTATCTACGATTCATGTCCATACATGCTTATTACTGGTGAAAAAATATTATAAGCAAGGACATAAGCAGCAATGGTGCCACAACAGAAAGACCTTTCTCCTGGTAGCCACCCTTCTCTCTTCCTTGGTAGGTGGCTCTTAGAGAAGGACCTTAGGGTCTGGATAGGTACATATGGGATGAGGCATATCTGATGTGTCTGTGGATCTCAGGTTGTGTTTTATTTAGCAAAATATTTGTTCCCAGTCTACAGGCAGTCCTCAGGTACAAATGTCCAAGTTACAAACAGCCCATACTTACAAATCAACTGCCATAAAGCCTATTAATTAAAAAACAAAACTGAATTAAAGGCTTACTGCAGGAAATTGTCATCACCAAAGAGAGAGAGAGAGGAAGTGAAAGTGAAGGAGAGAGAGACCTCTCCCCCTCCAAAGCGCACATTCTTGCCTCACTCATCCAGGGAGAGAAATCTCTCCAGTATTACCTTGCTGCAAGGAGGAGGTGCTGGTGAGCATGGGCTAGAAACATTTTCAGTTTTTCCAGGGATCCTGCACCCCTGACCCCCGCAAATGTAAAGTGTCAGCTATACATGTTCTGACTTACATACGAGTTTGACTTAAAGACAAACTTCCTTTTTCTCAGGAACAGAACTTGTTTGTAACCTGGGGACTGCCTGTACTGGGCATTGCAGCATCTTTTTAATAAGGGTTTGTCCAGCTAAGCTAATTGTTGGATGGATAACCCAGCTAATGGTTATTTTATGCATATACTTGGTGATGCCTAGTAGTTACCCCTTTGGGGGAGAATGTCATTAAGCAGATAAACATTATTTTGGAACATGTCTTAATATTTATAGATGTATATACTTAATTTTTATAGATGTATATAAGAGATGTAGAAAACTCTTATAAATTTTCTACCTGCTTCCTGGAAGTGAACTGATGGCTAGTGCAATGGATTCTCCATGACTTTTGAACAGCTAAAAGAAAGTTATCACAACACTGAAAGAATATTTACCTCCATCAAACACTTTCCACATTTGAAAAGGTGATATATAGAGACCATCTACAAATGCATACATATTTAGAGCCACTTTTGTTGAAGTTTATGTACTCTTCTTAGAAACCTGTATTCCTCTCCCTCCCTCCCTCCCTCCCTCCCTCCCTCTCTCTCACACACACACACACAACTCACTTTATTTGAATATATTGAAATTAATACATTCAAATCTATTTAGCTATACCTTTTCTTTCTTCTTGTTGACATTTTACAATAAAAAGTTTGTCCCATATTTTGCTTCTGTTTATACCCGAGGCATTCAACTTATGAAAATACCCCCTCAGATTATACACAGGATTGTGAAATTTGATTAGGGGAGGAAGCCCATTTTGACTCAGAATCAGCTTTCTCCCCCAAGCTTTGTTTAGCACAGAAAACAACGAAGCGCTCAAATGCTCCAAGAAAGTAGTATGCTGTGTCATTTTGGTGAATAACATATTGCCCCGTGAGAAGATATTTATGCAAGCAAGATCTATGTGGTGTATCTTGCTTATTAGGGGACCATAAAAACATATTTAATCTGGTCATGTTCAAATGCTATATGCAAAACCCTTCTGTTCATCAGAAACTCTGTTCTAGAAAGAAACGGAGCCATGTCACTTTACTGGAGTCATATAGCATAATGCTGGGAGCTTCAACTTGCTTTTCTTCCCGATCCAGCTGCTTAAACAGAAATAGATGATTAAGCTGAGAAAAAACAGGATTACCTCAAGGCAACGGTCTTTCCATTCCTGTGAGTGCACATCACCTGTCTTGTCTGATATCCAATTTGTATGTCCCAATATTTGTTCTCCTGTCTGTTCTGTCTGTTACGATTCCTCTTCTTCTTAATAAGCTCACGGGCCTCTGGATCCTTTATTGCTTTCTCCTTGTCCTTGTCCTTTTCTTTGTTCTTCCCACGTTTCCTTGCCTGCCTTGTGTGCCGTGTGTGGGGCACTGAACAGGTGCTCCATGGCCCCATGCTCAAGCTATACATGCTTTCTTCTGTGGTACACGGGGAGGAGCTGCATACCTGGAAGTCCGTCAGGTTAGGGCAGGCAGAGCCCCCATACTGAGGAGGGGCCACTATGTGGCGGAAGCGGTATCTTAGCCCTTTGCCGCAGCTCTTGGAACATTCCGACCAGGCCAAGAACTCGGACACAATGCAATCCTGCCTGCATGGAATGAGGCACCCCTGTTCCAGCTGAGGCTTGGGCTCAAAATACTCACATATTCTGTCCTCGACTGCCACACCATTGGACTTTTGGACACAAGTGATGTCCCTCCTCTGAATCCCTTCTTCCCCTCGGATACACTCAGCTGGTTTCTCGGCGATTCGCGAAAGAACTGGCTGGCAACGATTCCAGTCGCCCAGTTGCCAGTCGTACAGTTCCTTGTGCCAGTCGCAAACCTTGAAGCAGCTCTGCTGGTTGTCAGGCCTCTCTGCCTGCTTGCAGTTTGTGAGCAGCGTGGTCCAGCCTTCCACGTGAGCGCACCAGATGGCTCGCATTTGGGTTCCTCCGGGGCCACACTCGTCTCCCATACACCAGCCCCATGGACCTAGAAAAACAAGGAGGTGGGGGAAACTGAGTCTGAAATATCTGACACTCAGTCACTGTTTCCACAATAACAAGCACTCACAGAAAGATGAAATGTAAGAATTTCAATATTTCCCAGAATTTCTACATAATTGATATTATTAATGGGGATGTGTTCTTGATGTAACGTGCTTCTTATGCTAAACAGTCCACACAGAGACTGTGTAATAGCTCTGTCCAGCTCTTTTTTATCTTTCTGTGGATCAGGAATGCATTTGATTTTTGTTCCTTTTTTAGGTTAAATAAATAAAATATTTTCATTCTTCTGGGAGTGGTCATGTTGCCAGAATTAAATTATTTTCTGATGCCAGGAAGTTTTTAACCCCACCATAGCTAGTTCAGTCCATACATTAGCTTGGATTTTTCATCATTTTTCCATTATGCTCTCCCTGTGCTCTACCCAGCAAACCAGACATCCCAAGTTAAACAGCAATGGCAAGACAGAGTGAGCCATGGCATATCCATGCATAAGGCTGTATATGGAGAGCAGCATGGAGAACAGGAAGAAGAAATCTTCTTTTTAGAAAGTTTTTAATCTCCGTCAGTGGGAATGAAAACTTAATTGTTTCTACAAATTCACTTTGCCTAGGTTTTAAGGAACTGGGCTCAGAAAGGGACATGTGGCAACTCCAGGATAAGCCTGCAGACAAGGTAGTTACTGTGTTATCTATTCTTATATTTAGAAGGTTGTTTATACATTCCTGGCCACCAAGAGACTACATTGCCTCCTAAAGCTACACTACTGCAAAGGAACTTCTGTTGCCTAAACGTGCAAAACAAACTTCCCATATAAGTCACACAGATGGATACCTTATCTACCAGCACTGACACAGATAGTGTGTGTAAGCTTCACTGAAATCATGACAAAAGGGGGAAATAAATTTTAAGAATTTGGCTAGGAATGGGAAAAAGGGTAAGTGGAAGGGGCACAAAGACAAATGGAGACACCACTGGATAAGATCCAGTGTAAGCGCGTGCTTTGCAAGTCTTCAGTGACATTGCAAAGGTGAAAGAATGCCTAAACAGGAATACCTGGGCATGTATAAGAAAGTAGAGAACTACAGGGAGCAGGGGTCAAGAGCAATGAAAAGAAAGGAGCAGCAGGGAACAGTGTAAATGGTGGTAGTGCTGGAGAGACATGCAGCACACAGCAAAGTTAATTGTATGCACGGGCCGCCTATTGTCCTGATAACCTGTAGTTGGATTGTGGGGGCAAATGTCTTGATCATCACAGCTAGCCCACTCTCTGAAGTACTGCAGGGCCTCACAAAAAACTAGAAAGAGCCCATCAGAACGCATCAAAAGGCTGATCAACAAGTCTCTGTCTTTGTAGGTGCCAGGAGCTATTCTTAGACTCTGCTGGCTCATAAGCTTCCAGTAGATCAGTGAATCATGGGGCTCTGATTAAGTAAACCCATTTAGAATGGTTGGACCAGGAGTAAGGCTATGACTTTGGGTTTACTTTCATCCATTTAAAGCATGATGAAGTTTCAAATAAATAAATAAATAAATAAATAAATAAATAAATAAATAAATAACTGGCCTGACAGGGCAGAAAAATATTGACCTAAATGCCTATCCAAAACTGACACAGAGAACATGGTATGCTAGTTCTGCTCCCTGACATAGGAGTTTGCTGTGCATCTTGAATTCATGCAAACAGTCACACAAATTTTAAATGGGACTGCTTGGATGAATGATGAGGCAGGATTTGCAAGGGCCTTGAAGTGTTTGAACTGACTGCTACTCCTGAAGCAATGCCATGTCAGATCCTGCTTCCAAGGTATTAATAGTGTTGCATATTCATAACAGTGAGGCAAGCTGAGATACTTCCAATGAAACCCTTTTAAATGAAAATTTCAGCTCAAGGATGCTTCAGTTGTGTTTGAGCTGTGCAGTTGACCTGCAAGGCACTGTACACTGGGGTATGAAGTATAGGTAGAAGCATGCACAGATTTTTATATAATCAGACAAGATGCTCACAAAACTTGCAGGGAAAGCAAGCAAGCAAGACCTAGGAACATAGGAAGCTGCCTTGTACTGAGTCAGGCCTTTCATCCTTCTAGCTCACTACCATCTATACTGACTGGCAGTGACTCTCCAGAGTTTCAGACAAAAGCCTTCCCCATGCCTGCCTGGGCTGAACCTCTATGCAAAAGTATAGACACTATATGACATCAGAAAGGGCAATATCCAGAAAACAGTAGAAGAACTCTTCTGTTTCCCCTCTCCTAGTAAACCTATAAACAGCCATACCAGAGCAAAGAAACTTCAGAAGGGGAACTAGACTGAGAGACTGTTGAGTTACACTTCATCCAGAGGTTCATTTCTGTCCCTTGAGGTCTTCATCACACTAGGCTTGCCAAATGCCAGAATGTTCTTTTTCTGGCAACAACTACTTTGTATGTGGTCACTGTTATTAATGTGACTGCCACTGATTCTCTGCATGTCCATTCCCTCTGACGTCTCTCTCTATAGGTCTTACTTCCTGATGGTTAGGACCCCTAGGGTATGGAATGGGCTTCCACAGGAGGTGGTTGAAGCCCCAGTGGTCAGGATGCTTAAGGATAGGCTGGGCATGTACATGGTAGGCATGTCATGAGTGGAGGCTGGAGCCAGAGGTCAGACTAGATGGCCCAGGAGGCCCCCTTCTGACTCACTGTTGCTATGTTTCTACCCCCAAAATGAAGAGGGCAGTCTTCTCCAGATAATTCTTCATGTGCCAGAAGCGGACTGCTGCCCCCAAATGCTTATGAGTCAGCAATCTGCCAGCCTGAAGTGCCACAAGAATGATGTTCTGTTTCTTTCTTAATTTGTTAAGCCTACACTGAAGGATGTATCTCAACACTGATTTAAAATAAATGACCAGTACGCTATTTTGGAGAGCAGATGTGCCTTTTTTCCTTACAGCCAAGTCTATCTGGTATACACATATCACCTCTTACAGCATGGGAAACCTTATTCTGCCAGCACCTCTTAGCATTATTAAAAGCATTCAGCACTTTCCAATAACAGTGTGAGAGATGGATTGCCACCGGTCTTCATGCAAACCCAGAGAGCATATTCTAAGTGGAGCACAGCACTCAGTCTCTGCCTTGTGTGACACACATTTTTAAGCAAGCTCTCCACCAGAATCCATTGCAGGACACAAGTCAAACACTTTGCTTGCTGACTCCAAACCCTTAAGCATCGTATCCATGATAGCGATGCCAGCTGGCAGTGACAGATTCAGTGCATAAAAACTCTTGTGTGTTTTTGGCAGATTAAAGTTTGAATTAGGGTTTCTGAGGTTTAGCTAGATAGCCAGCAAAATAAATGTTTTAAGCACAATACATTTCAGCAAGATTACCCTAGTTTATCTCTAACCGGCCTTGCACAAATGACATGATTGTTCCTGTATTTATTTTCCTCCAAGTATATTTACCTTATGTACAGAGGGATTGCAAAGGAACATGAGGTGGGGGCAATGGCTATAGGAGGAAAACCTACATGAGGTTTTACTGAAGAATGCTACCCAAATTTAGACGAAAGAAACAAACACGCATAAAATCACCATGTAATGCAACATTATCACTGCTGAACACAAAGGAAACTCCTTCACCTTCCATGCTGCAAGCCTCCGTCTTATCACATCACTACACCTTGCATACATTGCATGTCCAATTAACTAGACCTTTAACAAAAAACACAGATGAGGCTGTTGCTGGCCTCCTCTAGATGAAGGGGTTGCAGCTTTTATGCACCAGAGTCTGGGAGCAATTCCACATTCAAAAGAGAGTGCAGCATATTGAACAGTTCTTGATAGCCTAAAACATGTCAGCCCCAAAACCAATCTATTCCTGCTACTGCAAATGGTAAGCAAATAAAATTACATTATTACGGCATGATGTGAGACCTGAAGCAATGTAAATGAGAACAAAATGCTTTCAAGTGTTGAAATGGAAAAGGTGATAAATGCCAGCATAACTTAGTTGTATCTTACTGCTCTCATGGCACTGTCAGGCTTAAGCAAGGATTTTAACACATCCATAAAATACACTGCAAGCAGAGCACGTGAGATCCAGGAAGGTTTTTATAACATCTTTTATAGTCCACTTTTGTGAGTTGCTGGACTGAGGGAGGCAGATGCTCATAAGAGCTAGGGAGGAACTGAGAAGCAACAGGAGGGAGGGAGGAAGTCAGAAAAGGGTCACAGCTCACATATCTGCACCATACAGAAGTCCAACCATGAATAGGAGCAGAGTTTTCTGAGAAAGCTTGCACATTCCTGAGCTTTCACTTGCAAAATGCTCACTTTAGAGAAATGTGCCTTTGAAAAACAGCAAAACTGTTCACACTTTGGTCTAAAGGGGAAAATGGGGTTTTGGATGTGCATTTTCTCAAGACATATATCAAAATGTGTACTTTTCTCATTCAAAGAAAGAAATCAAATTGCAACTGAAATCAAGAGCAAGGTGGTAAGACCTTCAAGACAGAACTCAGCATTTTAGGATGCTTAAACATTGCTAATTTCCCCATTCCTACATGCTTTGCTATCAAAAGGTCCCAGCACATTTAATCTCCTGAAAGGGACGGAAAAGATTCGAGGCGCCATTGCCAGTCAATGGAGGGTAGGCAAGCTGATGACCTCTCAGTTCTTATTATTATGGCTTCCATAATTACTGAGTCTTGACTATGCCAGCGGAGCTTATGGGACTTGTGGTACAAAATATTTGTAGAGCACCAGGACATCTATCCCTGCACTTGACAATCCTGGTCTAGATGGAGTCATGTAAGAACTGGCACTCCACGCCAGCCTTGGTGCAACCAGCTGAATTCAGTTCTTCAGACTCTTTCCGATGCAATATATAGCTCTGTAGGTGGCAATTTGATAGGCGCAAGAAGGGGGCCACTCTGTTCCTTTTGAAAAGTAAATGGTTGGGCTTTGGCTACAGGAAATTGTATAGTACAAACAAAAAAAAA